GATGGATAATTAAGCTCTGTAGACAAGGACTGTCCGCTCCCGTGTTCCTGCTACCAACTTCCGCGTTGCTTATATGGTGCTGCCACCACACTGAGCAATAGAACGCAAGCAGCAGTTGTCGAGAGTGGACAGTGGTCGCAAATCTTCCGATCGCGCAGGCTAGGTCTTGCTGCAATATAGTAGGATAACATGGACTGTAGCTTTGTACACTTGGTCGTTGATCTTGAGACTGATATCACGACGAACCACAAGTTTCGCAGGTTAACAAATGCCAAGTGATCTTAGTCAAGTTGTGAAATTTCATCGCCAATACCGCCACCAGCCGTGATGCCACTCCCGAGGTAAATAAAGCTGGTAACAAGCTCTAGGCTGACCCCGGAAATGGTGAACGTAGGCATAGGCGCCTGCAACTCCTGTAGCAAAGCCGCACACTTGAATGAAGCAAACTACAGACCATAATTAGATACTACTATCGCTAAGCGTGTTTTGAATAGCCTGCGAGTCTTCCCCAAGCAAAGTGAGGTCCTCAGCATAGTCCTGATCCAAGACTCGGCTTCCAGGTAGAAGCTCAACGCCGCAGCTCTGGTCTCCTTCTAGACGTGATTTAGAACATCATCGATGTTACGCTTGAACAGGAACGGCGAAATAAGACAAACTTGGCGCATCCCACTGGTAACAGCAAATGACATAGAAAGCCTGCTATGTGCGTTAACTTTGCCAGAGGTGTGACTACACATCTCTTTCAAGAGTATGACAAACTTGCCGAGAACGGCGTTCCGCAGCACAGTTCCACAGAGACGACCAAGCTATTGAACAACGAAAATGGACAAAGAATTTATACGGATTATGAAGCGTTGTTTTACAAATACCGTTGGATAATTGTTGAGGATATCGACGTAACAATAATGATAGTAAAATATTTAGTACATTAAATATGAAAATAAGGTCTTCTCGTTTGCTCGCTGTAGTCCTGCAATCCGCTTAGATTCACAGCAATTGCAGTTAGCATCAAATAATTCCATGCTAAAACCTAGCTGTAGGATAGAGAAGGAGTGCTAACTGACAAAGTATAAGTGGATAAGAGCATCATCCAACCGGCTTTTAAATACTGTTAGTGTCGGTGCAGTGACGACCGATTCTGGGACAGCATTCCAAGAGTGAGAGACGCGAATGGAAACGGAAGTTCTGTGGCACTCCAGGCGGCTATACTGTACATCGAGTTACAGTGAGTGGCCCCTCAGGTTTTACTTGGTGCTGAGTCGCAGTAAAGGGCGGCACACATAATGAAGGTCTCCCAGATTCAAGTACGCCATAATCAGGTAGCCTCGTAGTCTGTGATAGCTTTCACGGAGTACCCACAGTAGTTGCAGCCTCTCCTGGTATGAAGGATTGCACACTGCAATTAATTTATTAAATGCTAGACATTGTGGCTGCTCCAGTGCATTAAAGTCGTATTTCAGACATGGTTGACAGCCTTGAATTACGTATTCGAAATGGGGACTAACATACACACTGAGCATTTGTCAAAAAATGTAGCTGTTTATTTATCCAAATTCCCGTCGCAACAGTCAAAAGTGTTGGTCTCCAGTCTTTAAGGCATTTTCGGATTGCCTAGAGCAACCTAAATCAAGTTCGACAGTTGATTTCTACAGTACATTCGTTCCCAACTGGTATGAGTAGCTGCTCTGATGTGGCATGGAAAGCATCTTGAGTTTACTGACGTTGAAATGCAGTAAATTTTGGGTTGACCAGTGATACACCATATCTAGTTCACTCTGAAGTAGGTGCTTGTCGGCGTTTGCCTGGATCCTGCGCCAGATCTTAATACCGTCGGTAATCATTAGGTGGATTGAAGCTTTTCCCTTTTCAAGGTCATTAATACACACCAAAAGCAAACGTGGTCCTAGAACTGAGCCCTGCAACACCCCACACTCGACTTGCATGGGGTCAGAGAAAGCGATCCGAACTCTGATCACTAATTGCAGTTGGAGTAAAACGTTGGCAATTCAGCTTAAAAGGGGTGGCCGATCCCGTAATTTTGGCGCATGGAGAGTAGTATCCTTTGGTCTAGATAATCAAAAGCCTTGAAAAAATCCAGATGGATCATATCAACTCATTCTCCAGCGTCAACTGCTTCGTTCCAACTACTGCGTGCGACTAGTAAATTTGGTGTACATGACCGCTGTGGACGGAAACCTTGCTGCTCAGGCGTGATGATGTTACAGTTTTCCAGATAGCACACCAGTGCATCTGCAACTATGGATTCCATGACCTTGGAGATTATTTGAAGAAGGGATACTTGGCGGTAGTTGGAGGAATCAGTTCTGCTTCTACCTTTGTGAATCGGGGTTATTATTCCAAGCATCCACATAGCGGGTACTTGATTCTGATCTAGGCAACGTTAGAAGAACTGAGCTTAAATTATTGCCATTTGGCTTGATGCTGATTCCAGTGCCGCTGGACCACTGGTATCAACACTCGGTGAGCTATTTGAATAGACGTCAGATTTGCAACCCAGCTTCTGCAATGAAAGTGCTATGGGTTAGTCCCGGCGAAGAGAAGACAAAGATTGGAAGGTCGAAAGGTGGCAAGACCCTCTGAAACGTGGGGGCATATTGCATTCGCAACGCATTTCCTGCTTTTACAGCCACTCTTGTTGGACCGTCAGCCATCCTGAACGGAGGAAAACATTGCATCAACTTTCGTAGGCTTTTGACGTGCGTATAGAGCAGTTTGTGGTTAACACTGAAGGATTTTGATATATTCTGCTTATACGCGGCTTTGTTTTCTCTTAGCAATTGAGTGCAGTGGTTATGTTGGGCTACGTAGTTGTCGCAAGTTTCTGGTGCTGGAGTTTCTCTAGGCACTCATCATGCTGCGTTGCGTACTGCTATCCATTTCCGAGTTCTATTCCCAACGAAAGAAACTGATGTACACTTATTGCTAAATTTTAACCCTAAGCCTCTGCAATCGGCGGACTGAATTACATGACGTACCCGATCAGAGTGACTTCCGGGGGTTCCTCGGCAAAGAACGACTAAGTTATAGCGCTGACGAGCTGGGCTAATCGATCGTAACTTGTAATGGTTGGCACAGACTCATCGTTCACATTCCGATATTTTGCGTAGCAGGCGAAGTTGAAACTGATCACTGCGTGATCATTGCGACCCAGCTGGCAGTCTACAACCAACACCTCAATCAGATGCTCCTCGTTGGTAAGCACAGGATCCAGCACAGATGGCCTGATACCTGGTCTGAACCGAGTGGGCAAAGTGATGTGATTGTAAAGCGGAACAGCGGTTACGAGATCTTGTAGATGGGCTTTGGATTGTTCTCCTATCGTGGCAGGTGCTTCTGCACAATGTGTTTAAATTACCCGTGATAAGTTTGTGAGCGTACTTTCGTTGTAAACTGCATCTTAAAGCAGCTTTAAGGTGGCAGTCGGTTTGGGTGTAGAGTTAGGGAGCGGTACACCAAGACAATAAGGCAAGCGTCCCTTTTTTTCAACTACAAGAGACACCAAAGAGAGTCGGGGAAATGCGAGGCTAAATTCTCCGCAACTTCGCACTGTAAGTCGCTTCGATAATACAGGATTAGCCCACCTCCTTTTGTGAGCCTATCGTTCTGGATCAACTAGGTGCCGGTAGCGAAGCTTCACCGAATGTCACTCCTGTGCGCAACCATGTCTGGTTGATGGCAACGGCATCATATGACTCGGGAGCTTGGCAATCTTTCAGTTCGGCCAGTTCATTAAAAAGACCCTGAGCATTCGTATACACGCAGGCCACTTTCTCGGTCTCTAGGAGCCTACAGAGAGGTGAAGGGGTCAAGTGTGAGAGAATGCCGACCGACGGGAGGTCGGCGGTTACTCTTTTTTGAAGGGACAATGACACCACGTTTGCAACTATTCTGCCAAGGTGCGCCCCAAGCGGCTCGGATACCCATAACCACCACCATTGTTGGTCTACAGTGGACGTGAAGATGTTCGAGGATTGGACGCAACGTGAGTAGTTGGGCAATGTAACCACGACCAGCACGAAAGTCAGCTGGTTCCTCACGACACCATCTGTCGCGGGTAACCGAGAGCCTGCGTAGCAGTATGGACACAAAAGCTTGGACGCGACAGAGATAAGTGAGATGCCACGGTAGTTGGCGCATTCACTACGAGAGGCTTGTGGAGTGGAAAGCAAACAGGTTCTCCTCATGAGTTAGGAAGCTTCGCATCGCTTCATACTTTTGTGACCAGTGAGAGTATTTTAGTGACAACTATGTGCCCCACATGTTTGAATAAGACCGGAGGAAGACTATCAACGCCAGCTCCTTTGTGGCACTTTAGAGTCGCATTTCTCTGAATATTTCGGCTTCAGTGGGAGGATCTATGCGGATTGACCAACAATCACATGGTGGCAGTGCATGTGTAACCGAAGGTTGTGTTGGGCAACTAAACTGGAGATAACATTGCTCTGCGCAGCTATCCAGACATCTGCGTGGATTGGTGATCTTTGTACCATCTGACTCACAGATGGTCTGAATGACGGCTTGAATTTTGCGTCCAGCGGATCTGACAAGACAAAACAACTTGATTCACAAGCTTAAACGTTACCGAAGTAAAGAGAAAAGGGCGGTCCTATATACACTTCGATGGAGACTAAGCAAACTTATGTAAAATATATTAAATTTTAATGTCGATAGTTGCCCTGCCACTTGACACAAGGCACAAAATTAAGGATAAGTAAGAGTAGGTTTTTGAGATTTAGCCTTATAAAAGGTTGATGGAATGCGAAGCTGACGACTGCCGATATAACGAAATAGCTGCCTGGCTCTTTAAATTGCGTTTGGTGGCCGTCAGTCCGCGTTCAGCGGTAAGGGCATCAGCTCAAAGGCCATGGTGTTTAAAAAATTCGTCCCTCTGATTGTCAAAGAAAAATGCAAATTCACAATATGGGCTGCCAAATTTTTGAAACTATCAAGCTACAGTAGTAAAATAAATTTGGTTCTACCTTTGACGATAAGTTCAAAATGGGCAGACCAAGGACTCCATCCCAACGAATTCCGTCCGCGGCATTGGTAGAGACCAGCATCGCGCCAGTCAACCGAATCCCACTTGAAAAGGTAAGTATTCACATTCTGCAAATTGAAATGTTGCACGATAGTTCTTTGTGGCTTTTGCAGCGGTAAGTATCACGCTTAATTAACTTTCACCATCGTTAAACAGCGTAATTCTCACATCGTGTCTTATTGGTGAGGTCACGACAACTATCAAACGAAAACAACCCAGTTATCCAATAGCCGTTTTGTTAAGCACTGCTGACAGCGATTAGTTGGCTGAACGGCAGAAATTTCTGCTAACATCAAAAAACTTCGGGTCTTATTCACAGTCCTACGGTATTAACATGCGAAATGAAAAATATATGAAAACAGTCGTTAAGTGTAATGTTGCCGGTCGAAAATGCCCGAAATCCAGCATACAAGTAGTGAAATGAACAAGTGCTAATTGTCAAAGTTAAATGAGAGCAAATCATGCAGGCATCCATTGCTGGTCAACGTTGTTTCATGAATAGTAGCTGCACTGTGCGTTAGGAGAAACTGGCACACACGTTCCACAGGCTTTGATGTGTAGGACAAGTAGAAAAAGAAATTGTGGGATATAGACGCATATCGAAGGTCAAGGCAATCCAGAAAGACACCGAACTGAAAGAAAGCTTTCTTGGGGCTTGCGCTAGTTTAGTGGAAGTAAAATGGACAAAATTAAAGGCACGTTATAATGTGTATGGAATAGAATAGGTTATCTGCACAAAGTTGTAACGTGGAAAGTGATTGCTTACGGATGCTTTCAGCATCCAATAAATTTAATAAAATTCACCATTACTAAATCTTCCGATGAATTGGAAAATAGAGAGGATTTATCGAGCCCTGAATATATTACATATTCATTCATGGCAAATTCTGTGCTGTACCATGGTGTATTGACGTCACACTAAATTTCATGGATTGGACAACAGCAGGTTCTCGCTCGATGTGTGCATTGTCACCTTCCAGTTATTGTTAGGTATAAATGCGATGGGGAACTTGAGTACAAGTTATAAAGTATAAATTATAAGAGTTTAAAATGCTTTATTGGTTTTTAGTTTTAACACAAAAATAGAGATGCATTTTCCGAATCTAACTATAATCGACCTGCAGAACGTCTATTACTTTACTTACTGATATCACTGTATATTATCCAGCTTCCTATGAGGCAAAATATTTTTATTTTCTTGTGCTTTATACTTATCTAAATCTTTGCCTATCCTTTTACACACCGACATGATTTGTCCTATATGATTTAAGCTGTTCTCACATAGTTGATTAGTATGCGCGAGTTATCATGTGGGCAAATTGGTTTGTTTTTAGCGGCACTGAAAGCTCCGCCACACAGCTGCGAACGTCATCTGTCGAGCCCTGCCGTTGCAAATCTTAATTTAGTGGTTATGTTTTATTTTGGATGTAACACGTTGCACATTTTAAATAAATACAAGTAGACAATAACATTCATTCAATGCATTTGGTATGAGCGGTTCATCCAGATTAATAATGATCGAGTGCTACTCTTGTACTGTCTCAATGACCTCATTGAGACCTAATCAAACCAATGAATCGATTGCATCTGTCTATGGCAGATAATCATCAAATAGTAAGGCAAACGATAAACCGATTACCAGTGGATTCATGTCGATACTGTTGAAAACATATAAGCAGATGGTAGGGGACTTTCTGGTGAACAGTCATGGCTTGGTCCTCAAACAGCCAATTCACAAATGAAGATGGTTTGAAGAATGCAAGTGATATATTCTGTGATTTTCCATAGTATAGCATATTCGGTTAGGGTACAGGGTGAATTTCTACTAAAGTTTTGCGACCAAAGATGTCTCGTAAAATGTACCTTGACAACTTTTCCATAAGTTTTCATTGAATAGTTTGGAATTGCAGTACTGTTTACATCTTGAGTGATAGCTTAGATTTATTAGACAAAGGCAAAATCTTCACAAAAGCTTTACTGCAACAAATGCGCAAGTCGTTATAAATCTGCACGTCAACCAGAAGTAAATCAAACTTTCGATTCCACACTTATGATACCAAGCTACTACAGACATCTTGTAACATTTGTTTGTATTCCGAATACATGCATGTTGTATTAAAAAGTCTTTTACAGATGTTAGCATACATTTACATTTATATCTTTGATAATAAACCACGGTGCATTTTTCACTCAAAATCGGACGGTTTATAAATAATACTGGATGATACCTAAAATATTGGGATCAGAATATCGCAAGCAGAATCGTGCAACATTTTCCTTGCCTTGGATATGAATTGACCTGACCATGGGTGTCATCCAACTTCATCAAACACAGTGACTCGATTTTTCATATCATCCCATCTGCCTTCATGTATTTTGTGCGTTAGTGTGCATCTACAGAGGCACGTCTGTTACCATGGATTACAAGGGCGGATTCACAGAGAGTGCAGACGATTGTGACAACCACTGATAGTCAAGTCTCACGAAATAAAGAAAAGTGAGAAACAAACTGCGGAAAGATGGGTCTACGATGTAACGACGACGCACAAAGAATTTTATTGGTTCGGGCGAAAATCCTTACAATGATTGTTATCATCGACCACAAAACTACAACCCGATAAAACGTGATTTCGAAAATCTCGGCGCAAGCGCAGCGTATGCTGATAAACCCAAAGTCTGACCAGTCGCCAACCGCAATAATACAATCGATCGTTTGACTCGTAACGCAAAGGGTCTGCACGAATTAAGCCCTCCAAACGATGTAAGATTGCCGATCGAACCGTATCATGTTACTGTTCAAAAAGTCATTTTGGTTTTTACCAATAGATATCTCAGGATATGAGGTTGAAATATAATGTCTAGATTGATGCTGAAAGTCCACTTTAGTCTGAAATGATTTAGTGTGATTTGAAAAACCTACTTGTTTTACAATCCTTGTGTAAGTGGAGCGGGACCTTAAATCAGCACTTGATCTACCAATGCTAAGTGGCTCAGAGGAACAGTCTAAAATCTCCAATACTAGACCTGAGCCAGTGTAAGTGGCATACTCAGCTTCAATGTTTACATATGAAGTTTACCGCGTTTACTAACCTCGGCGGTCTATATTGCGATGCTGAAGAAAGTCAACGATCCACCAACCCTGACAGCATTAAACCTGCTGGACCTGACCGACTCCACCCAATCATCTCATCCATTGTACTGGAATTATTTAATACGTCACCCTTTGATGTTCTTAATATTGATCGACCGGGAATCTTCACTATTAAAGCCGATTCCGAAAACCTTTAAGCGCAACAAACAGACAAATACCGGCCAATATTTTTCGACTCCCGTTTTAATCATTTTCTCTGTTTAGATAATGAAGAAGCGTAAATCCAACCACTCAGATCACAACTTCTGCTGACATCCGCACAACATGGTTGTATTCTAGGCAGTGTATGCATTATCAACCAGTTGGGGATGAGTCATGTATGATTCTCATTTGTAAACCAGGGGAAATCTTTTGACTTTGTCTATTTCGATTTCAATAAAACGTTCGACGTGGTCCTCGTGCACAAGACAAATTGCGCGGTATCGGTTGATCACCACACTAGTTGTTCTGCAATAGTGATTCACAGTCAAACGACTGCAGCCTACTTCCGCAAAACCTTAACTGCTTCTCCATGTGTTCTGCCAACGTCCGCTTCCTATCAATCCAAGCGAGTCTGTATGCATGCTTTTCGAGAAGGGGATTGACGGCCGAACTTACGCCTTTGGTGTGCAATCTCTATACCACACGCTTGCCGCAAAGGACCTAGGTGTAATATCAGTCCGAGATTTGAATTTCCTATGCAGCACGAACAGGCTATGTCGAGACGGACGGAGCATGCTCAGTGCACCCAAACGTAGCTTATTTGTTTGATCTGAATGTGCGGCTATTCGCATTCATCCTCCAACACAAGACTTATACTAGGGTAGCGATGGCCCGTCTAATGACTAAGTACGCGATGCAAGGCACAGATTATTGAACAGGTCAAACACGCCACTGCCAGGCTCCTTCCACTTTTACGAGGGTTACCCTACGAAGACCGGTGTAGGAAACTAGGACTCTACACCCTGTCGTTTCTTCGGGTGCCAGTCCATTTCATCGCGACCTGCTGCATATTACTTCTAGGTGACTACCCAATGTTGCGGCTGCTGCTCCAGTTGAGATGGCCATGCGGCGGACGGGACACTTGTATAAGCTTATTAGATCGGATATGAAGCGAGTTCCTCACCCTTTGGGCTTCGAAAGAAGGACAGGAACATTTTGATTTAAAGTCTCGTGGATATCTACTCCGTGAAACATTTCAATAATTTGTTGGTTTTGCCGTTTGCGCCATTCGATGTTAAGACGATTGCACACTGATACAGTAAGTCAGATATTTAAATGATACATAGACGCTTGAATAATTATTCGATTAACCTGGTGGTGGATACAGTTTATAACTTTTATGATTAGAGACTGATGGAGTGCTACAAATTTACTCTTATACTTAATCCAAGCATATGGTATCCCCTTTGATAAAAATGTGGTGTATCTATGCTGTTGCCAGTTAGGATAACGAGTTAAAGCTGAATGTTAGGCCCGCAAATCTAGTGGTGGTAAAAGTCCAAACGGTTCTCAGTAGCTGGGAGTCGATACTGTGAGGTGGGACCAGGTTATTAATAGTACATCTGGTTTATGAGTTATATAAATAAATTGCTCTCTAGCATCAAATTTTCTAACAATTACCCTACTAACTCAAGTTATTCGCATTGCCTATTACTGGAATGAACCGAATATTAACTCACTTTTATATCAGCAATGTGTCGGAGGAATTGCAAGCTCAGCTACTTAGCCATTAGCAATACGGATGTTCGGCAAACGATAGTACTTAAATGGCTCACAGGACATAATCTTCAGCACAATGTGTAAAGGTCATTTGCTTACACACTTATGGAAATTTGCTCAATAACACTGTTACTATGACTACAAGAAACCACGTAAATGACGACCTAGGTAACCGGTTGTGTTAAGCTACAGGTCTCTAGGTGATAAACATCCATTATCCTTTTGACTCTGTACTATAAAATATTGTGATCATTTAATTCAGGTAAGCTAACTCGGAAAAATGTAAACGTGATTTCTGCGATAACAAGGTGTCCATGTATGAGATTTTATTTCGGCCACTTGGCAACTTTTTCTTTAGATAGTTGCACTTCACTAAATGCTTTGCGTCATAAGCAGTTATGCTAGTTATGCAGAGCCTCAATCTTCCTCAGCCAATATCCTACACAAATCGGCATGCTTCATTTATGTAACTATATGTTTGCTGAGGGCTTAGTTTAGATGTTGGTCAAGGACTCCTAGTAATAACGTGACACTTGAGGAAATAAACACGCTGAGCAACATTTCATTATTTACCAAACAGCTGTAATTTGCCAAAAATTTTGTAGCGCTTCTGACAAGCACAATTTTTTATGTTATTATTTAGTAGCTTCCATTTAACAACAGTATTCATGTATCTTACTGACATCTGTCACACTTTACCATTCAATCCTACATAGTGCGAGTAGTTGTCTGTCATGAGACGATCCTGACGGCCACATGGTCTATCTGTCAACAGTCTATCTGTCTGTATGCATGAATGTTGACAGATTGAAAAGTACTTAAAATAATATCCTGTCACAACTGCATGCTGGCGATTTTAAGCAAGCCGTATAACAATAAGTTATACATTTCCTCCCCAAGCAAATATTATCGCTCTGTGAAAATACCAAACATTTTAACTTCCTACCTCACTTTAACTTGAAGCAATTGCAAACGCTATGTACTGAGCAATGTAAGAGCCTAGGAATTCCGAAATAATAAAAAACTGAGCGGATTCTTCTGTCTGTTACTTTGAAGACGTAGAAAGAAAACGCGTTGCGCTCATAGACACTGGTGTAACAATAATGAACGACTGGGTGGGCACATCAGCTCCAACGCGAGCTATGTCGGATATCCGGGCATAAACGAGTTTGCAAGTGTGACTTTCATCCAAGTGGGGAGGAAACGGTCATTAAGCTGTCGGATTTGGATGAAGATGAACAAGCAAGTGGACGGTGCAACTCTACCCCGCAGTTAAATTCGCAAACTGTAGGTGGCGATAAATATCATACCCGGTCATTGGTACCAGTCACACAGCCAGAAAAAATTTCGGTATTCAGGTAAACCGGTGACCATGTCGAGCCCAAATAAACTATTTTTTAAAATGTATTAAAGCTGCTAATGCAACTCACTTTTCTGTAGTTTTTCAAGCTATGGAGCTGATCCATAAAAAATAAAAGTTGTTGAGGAATTCGGGAACTCGACCTGTAGATGTCAATGTCGTAGGATAACTGAAGCTCATCGCTTTTTGCTCTGCGCCATTCGACTTGGTCTACCGAGGGATAAGATTCTATTTTACACGGCAGGTACCCTGGACCATTGAAGCCAAGATAAACGAGCTGATCTTTCCACTGAAGCACCCGCGGAATATCTGTAAAATAGTAAATAGAGGAATCAGTGAACATTATATTTGGTGGATGTATGTGACAACTAATTCCACAATTAAATTAATTTACGAATAACATGTATTTTCAGCAAACGACTTAGTGCCAGCTGCTGAAGCAACGGTTCTTCACTTTGGAATAATACCGCTGCCTACCCAACACAACCTTGAAAGTGTTGATAACAGTAGTTTCCACCATTTCACTGCCGAGCTTAACAAACTTTCGGATTATGCTGAAAGCATCTGGATCCTGGAGACCATCTCATAGTTCTTAACGTACGTGCCAAGAAAGTGCACAATATAATGTTAGTCAACTTAATTAGGAAGACGACGCTCACAAAGTTTTGATTTATTTACCTAGCTAAACTTCAAATATGCAATGACTAGTTCCGTTCAAAAAATTAAGTGGAAGGACACAATATTTCCTTATTTAATAAGTGGATATATGATTCTGCATAAGAGATTCATATATAATTGGCATAGGAAGACAGCTTATCCTGCAATTTGTTTACAGAAACGACAATAAGTCTTAATTCATATACTCAGACTGCCATTTGGAGCGATAATATTCAACGCCACTTGAAAAGAGGATAGAATTTTTTAAATGTTTATCATGTGTGGTATTGAACAGCACAAAGCAAAACGTATCCATTCTTACAAATATCTAGTGTAGTGTGTATTGCACATAAGAATGTGGTCATCTAATGTAGATCTGCTACTTTGGGAAATTCTGATAAACAATATCGCTTTGCTATGTCGCTATACGTAAAATTAAGAAGCCCAAATTATGTATCACTAGCCAAATGAATAATCCGACAAGCGTTTAAATGGAGCGAATTTGCATAATCAAGCATACCTTTGCGCAATTCTTTTGGGTCACCTTAATGGGTGGCCCATATCCAGTGTATACTAAACATTACCGTCAGACGAAAACTAACTGCATGACGTTCAGTTCGAGACGGCTGGACAGGAGACAGATCTTCTACCGTTTATCCACAAGAGGGCAACAAAAAAATTAAACGTAACTCTGCTTCGACGAGCAGCCGTTTTAAAAATTGGACAAGGATTTCGGACAATGGCATTGGGTATAAACCTGTACTTAGTACATTGCAAAACTATATTGGAGCTAGATAAGGGGTTGTATTAATAAACTTAGGAGATGTGTACCGCATTTACATGCGCATCAGTGCACATGAGTAAAAGTCTCACTACCAAAATATTAGAGGAAATTTTATTTAGTTAAATCTGCTTTTCTTCACAATATGAATTAACTTATCTTTGATCACTAATTTGTCCAGCTGCCATTAGGCGAAAACTGGCAAATGACACTAGAAGGCTTTCGCAAACGGAAGATATTTAAAGGCGCAGTATTATTTGCATTTATACCAATTTGGTTCATAAGGAAATTTGAGTTTAGAAGGTGCCCATCTGCATGTTTTCACGACAGTATGTAGCTTTCAAAAGATTCACAAGTAGGAGAACTAACGTAAAAGATAGATATATATGGTCTCAACAAGCAAAAGTTCAAGTCGCTACGAAACAAGGAGCTGATAGCCATGTTGTCATGTTTCCATGAGGGTTTACGATTTTATTAAGATTCTCTGCGGAAACGATTTGACTGATAATTGCGGATAGGTGGCACGTTTTGCCATCAGGGTCAACGAACTATTTGGTACCTAAATCAGCGTCGTTAAGCACCACAAATAAACATATTATTAAACATACATTCATGGTGTACAGATTAGTGTTTCATTGACGCATCGAACCAAGCTTATGCTAATTTGCTAGGTTGGAGTGATCACAGTAACGCTGTACCAATGGCAGCGGACAAAGACATTCCAAATTTCAGTCGATAATACCTTCAACTAACCTATCTCTTATTTTATTGAGCAAATTCAGTTTCAGTTAAAATTATCTACTGCTTGTGTACTTCGCCAGCAGCTTGTCGATCGATGTTTTTGTTATGTTGTGTATAAATCGTGGTTGTCAAAGTCATGTAAGTGCTGGTATACGGTATAAATCCAAAGTAAGGTATGGCTATTTTTAACTTTGCGATCCCTTGACAAAATATAACGAAACAGCTGAGCAGAGTGTCTTCGTTTGGCACCAATGACCTTGTGTCAGATAACAGAAAATCATTTGTCAGACTTCCATTAAGCATCCTCAGCGGCATTTATTCCAGATGGCGTTGTGAAAAACCGGTTAATATATTTGTTGGGTGACATTTCGTTGTTAACACGAAAGCCTTATCTAAGATTCTATAATCTTCCACCCATGTGAGAAATGCATCGGGTGATAATGTTTGGGGTCAAGAACAGAATAAACACATCGCAAATTTTCTACCTAGGCAGCCAGTGTCTTAAGTTTTACAAAAAGTGCCTCAAGACAGAAGTATATTCACTAAACACGGCTTTACAAGCCGTTAGGTGGTCCGGCGGATTATGAGAAAAATATCAATGCAAAAATGCAGTTTTATGTTTAATGTTAATTGCATATACTTTCGTTTTAAAAGCAGTAGCACTACCATATCTCGGAATATGCTTGGAACGGACTGTGATTTTATGATTTCAAAAGGTTTGAATACAAATCGGTTTTGCTAGGGTTTTATTGTGACAACGTTTCGCCCTTGACACAAGAGCTTCTTCAGGCCAGGTGAATCGTTACAAAACTGGCTTAGCTTTTAATGGGAACGTAAGTTGAAGGTTGCAAGTCATAACATGAACAATTGGATAATAATGTTACAGGTCAATAGGTCAAATGACCACGCTAATGAAACAACAATCATCGAGCGTCTCTCATTGATCCACGTCATCGGTCGTTCACATGTGAGGCATTCCTTTTCTTGCAGCAGTTGATTCACGCTGCGACCTGAGTTCGTCCGCCGACACTTTTTCTGACTGACCGGGTTAACACAGTCCGCCACGCGTTCGATAACTCCACCCCGTCTGTTCTGTTCACACAGTTATTAGTCTTAGTAATCTCGATCGCCCCAGCAATTGAATCAATATACGGACCACGTGTTCGTAAACTGGTTAGTGAATTCGTGCGCTTGGCTGGTGTTGAAGCGAATTGAGAAAATGATAGTATCTTTAACATGAGATGTCTCAAGTGTGGGATTATTCCTAAAAGCCTTGTTGTTAGATCACCGGACAGTTCTTACACATCTACCAAAGCAGTTTACGACGCAAGCAAAACATTTCTGAGACAACGGATTTATATGACAACTCGACGCCTGAATGAAATCCGCCTACATTCTAATCGGCTCAGCGGGGAGATGCAGACTGCTATAACGCAGACGGACTATGATAGACTTTACAGCAAGGCCTCGGAAGTGAAATCAACGCAAGGGCTAGCTGCGAAAAAAGACAAGTTTGCAAGTTTAATCATTTGATGTCTATGCATAGCAGGACCACTAGTCTCGTAGATAGGTCTGAATCTAGCAGTAACTATTACAAGGTAGTTATTATGTCAGATAGGTTGCTGAGTGAGATGGAACGTATATTACTAAAAATGGGTTCGAACTTTTCTGTAAATAAGTCTAAACTAACTGCAGAGGAAATTATTACTAGCGTTGAGTCCGTGATGACGAAACTACCAGTATCAACAGCTGAGAATATTCGTACATAGATGGTAGACATCATCAGATTTCAGAAGCCTAGGGAGCCAAATCTTACACCAGCGGAGCGTACCGCATTAAAGGCCTTAAGGGAAGACCCCACCATCATCATCACGAAAGCCGATAAAGGCAAGACCGTAGTAATAATGAACAAATCGAATTACGTGGAAAAAATGAAACAGCATTTAGCAGCAGTGTCCTACGAAGCAATTGAGAAAAATCCGTATCTTCCATAGTGAATAAGTGCAAAACTGAGGTAGGAAATTATCTGATAAATGTGAAGGACAACCTAGTGCCGGGTAAATGGTATAGCGTATATCCGAAATCAACGATTCATCCTAGGATTTATGGGCTACTAAAATACATAAGCCGGAAGTTCCCGTTCGGCCCATTGTAGATGAAATCGGTTCTCCAACACACGAACTAGCCCGATATTTGGCAGGTTTGTTGCAACGTCTCACAGGGAGAACAAATAGCTTCGTACGGAACTCTTTTGAGTTCGAGCGAAAGGTAGCAGGTCTGAACATCGCGCCAGACGAAATAATGGTTAGTTTTGACGTTAGCTCCCTATTAACTAACGTGCCCAAGGATGACGCATTGGGCATAGCACAGCGTTGTCTTACTGAGGACAATAGCCTGGAGCAGCGAACGAAACTCACGGTAGATCAGATAATCGATGGAATTAAAGTATGCCTTAATATGTCGTATTTCACTTTCAATTCGAGACTGTACTCTCAGGAACTGGGACTTGCCATGGGGTCACCAATATTCCCCGTTTTGGCAAATCTGTATATGGAAGACTTTGAGAGAAGGGCGCTGACAAACTCCAGTAGTTCGCCAAAGATTTGGTGTCGCTACGTGGATGATACGTTTGTGATTATGAAGCAAGATATGAAGGAGGCGTTTCTAGATCATCTGAACTCCATTAATGGAAATATAAACTTTACTTTGGTACTAGAATCTTGCAGTGGCACACTGCCATTCCTCGACTGCCTATTTCACAGGATCGGTGGACGGATAAAGACGACGATATATCGCAAGCCGACAGATACTGACGGAGTGCTTCATTACAGTTCGGGTTTTCCAAAACAAGTCTATGCCGCTATCGCATCCTCTCTGTTTCACAGAGCCCAGACTCTGTGTACAGAGGAGGAGGACAGGAAGGCCGCTCGTAAGGAGACGGTGAGCAAATTGTAGACAGTGGATATCCGAGGCGGTTAGTGAAAACGCCAATTGCAGAGAGCTCTAAATCCACCTCCGCGACGCACAACGGAGTGGATTGGGACAGTGGGAATCCCCTATAAAAAGGGAACCTCAGAAGCAATCAGACGCGTACTAAACAATGAGAAAATAAGAGTGGTTTTTCGAAAGG